GCACAGAGGCAGAAAAGGATCTTGGAGTCATTATAGACTCCAAGATGAACATGGGCTGCCAATGTGGGGACACGGTCAGGAAGGCTAACTGCACCTTGTCATGCATCCATAGATGCATCACGAGGAGGTCCAAGGAGGTGATCCTCCCCCTCTATGTGACATTGGTCAGGCCACAGTTGGGTGCTGCACTGCAGGAGGGATGTGGACAACATGGAGAGGGTCCAGAGGAGGGCCACCCGCATGATCCGGGGACAACAGGGCAGACCCTACAGTGAGAGACTGCGGGACCTGAACCTATTCAGCCTCCACAAGAGAAGGCTGAGGGGGGACCTGGTGACCATCTATAAACTCACTAGGGGGAACCAGAAGGGTTTGGGGGAGACGCTGTTTCCCCTAGCCCCCGCTGGCATAACAAGGAGTAATGGGCACAAGTTGATGGAGAGGAGGTACAGATTGGACATCCGAAAAAACTACTTCACAGTCAGGGCGGCTAGGAGCTGGAACCAACTTCCAAGGGAGGTGGTGCCTGGGGGTCTTCAAAAGGGGGCTAGATAGACACCTTCCCGGAGTCGTTTGACCCCAGCATTCTTTCCTGCCCGTGGCAAGGGATCGGACTTGATGATCTGCTCAGGTCCCTTCCAACCCTACCAACTATGAAACTATTAAGTAGAAGCAGAGATTGTATGAAAACTACAGTCACTATGCTGGGGCAGCTGATTATACTGGTGTCATGTTCCAAATGCACTGATTAGACTTTCATTTGCAAAACATTTTCATGGTTCCACAGGTTTGCAAGGAGACTTGGAAATTTGAAAAAAATTCCTGCCTTCATGGCAGGTTATGAAGAAGGTGGGGAAAGATGGCTTTAACCCAGCTTTAGGCTCCATCCCACTAGGATCCCAGGAGCCATTTGTAAGTTGTGTGTTTAAGTTAGAGCAGTCTCATGCCTGCTTTAAATAGTGCTGATTATAATGGATCCCTGAAGTCATATTGTTCCAGGTACATCCTCTGTTACACCTGATGTGATCATGATTATAAAATAAATTAAATAAGGTGACTATAATATCACTATTCACTGGTAATGTTTGCCATAGAATGTAGTGTCTAGTATACATATCCTTTAATCTGTCTCCTCCCTTTTATAATTAACCCTAGTCAATGGATTGTTTATAGTGGACAGATTTTGTTCTACAGTTAAGTGGAAGTCCCCTTGCTACCCAAGGTAGTTCAGCAAGCAATTCTTCTTAGAAGAGTTAAGTTTCATTCTATCCTAGTAAGGTTTCATTATGCCAATCCCCTTTGGAGTGCAGTATTTATTATATACCAGCTAGGCACTAAATACTATATTTCAATGAGTCTTTAACCATCCATCTTCTTCCTGC